ATATATGCTTTTCTCTTTCTTTCCCTCTTTCCTTTCTTGCTCTTTACTTTTTTTCTTTCGCATAATTCTATAAAAACCTGATTTTTTTATTTTATTATAACTTTTTAGACTTTACTTATGTAAAAGCTATAATTGGTCATAATATAAGACCAGCGTACGAAAATGAATTTAACTCTATCGTATGTCTCGCAAGATATGATCCAAATAAAAACTGGCAGGATAATGTTTTATGTACTGGAACGTTGATCTCTGAAAGACACATTTTAACAGCTGAGCATTGCTTTGAATTTTCAGAGCATAATCAAATTGAAATAGTTATGGGATCACATAAAATTGAGAATAGCGTCAGATATTATCCATTATGGTGGATGTCTTTCAATCAATGGAATACATATTATAAACAACCAATTTCGGATGCATATAATGACATTCTTATAATCAAAGTAAACTAGTTTTATGAATGCTGAATTATTGTTTGTCAAGAGAATTAACGAAAGACTTGGTAATTTTAGTCGCGTGATCATCATTGTCGGTACAAGAATGCCCAAACAGATCAGCAATATAAAATATCGAAGTAGTAGCCGGTATTTAAGAAAAATTTTTATGATAAGTCGGTTGATGCATGATGACTAGCGCATTAACATCTTTTTGACGAATGCAATTTATTAGTACAATCGTTTAAACAAATGACTTTTCCCCGATATTCTCACGCACTACAACTCTCTTAATATCCGGTTATGCTGGTTTAAGTTGGTCCTTCCAAGTTCATCTGGAAACGAAAGAATTATATGGGGGATATAAATAAAGACCTTCGATGTTACAATTTTGGCGGGTTGCATGTTTTCTTTCGCGTAAGGAAAGTCGTTTCTAAGTCTATGTTACTTATTTAAATAATGCGAAGTAATGCGAATTTTCCGTTCATTATCCGGCTTCTCAATCGATGTCGGAATAAATTTATTCGTACTATTTTCAACTTACTTCAATAACATACAGATATAAATGATTAGATATTTAGTTTTTGTAAGTATATGCAAATTAATTTTAAGAAATCTATTTGCAGATAATCGGACTGCCAACATTAATAAATTGTTGCACGTTGAGATATGTTGTTCCAACGAGCCGATTTAATGGACTCAATCTTACAGTCGTAGGTTGTGGCATGATTGAAAATAACATAATGCCAGACGTTTTACATACAACGTCTCTTAGAGTTATAGATCTTCAAACTTGTATGAGGATGGTTGAGGCGCTTAGGGGAGAGCCATTAATGATTACTGATAAGTATATATGTACTATCGGCATACCGTACACATATCTAGAAATAGTAAGTAATGGCATTAGTGTTTTGTTTTATATAAATCTTACATATATATATATATAAGCTACTTTACTATAATATTTGTTATCAATTTTTTTTTTTTTTTTTTTTTTTTTTTTTTTTTTTTTTTTATACTTTGATCGTGCTGAAAAATAATACAGGAATATAGAGTATGAACGATACAATCGTTATAAAATAACCAGAAGGATTGAATAGAAAGTATTACTTCACTGCTTGACAACTATTCTTTATTAATCACTGATCTAACTCAAATTTGGTTTCTAGCATATATATATATATATATATATATATATATATATATACATATATTCAACCCCTTTCCCTCCCACTCTCTTATTTTTCTCTTTAACATTTGTATTTTTTGACATTATAACGGTCGACAAACTTTTTAATTGTTTCCATAGTAGCTGTAAGCTACCAATCGACTCTACTAAGGTTGAGTCCAGCTTTCGCAAAACTCAGACAGTCTCTTGCAATGGTTACTAATATGATAAGACAAATCGCTGTCCTTCGTACATGATTCATTTCATAATCAGATTTAAAACTCAATTTTCATCAATTTCATTTGGAGTATCGATGACGATAGTATAAAATTTCAGGCAAATTAATTAGTACAATTATCGATGATTCTTTAAAATAAACTATAATTATTCGCTTGATCTGTCGCTCGATATTTCCTCGGTTTCCATCGTAATATCAGAGCAATATATCGATTAATGATCGAGTTTATCGAAACTGAAATACCCATATATATATATATATATATATATATATATATATACACATGTATATGCACTTTTTTATTCGAGTTGTTTTCGTATTAACAATTATTATATGAAATTGGATAATCCCGCTATCTTGCGCACGAATGAAGAAATAATTTTTAAAAATATCTATATTCAAATAACTAGAGAAATAGAGTTGCCCATCTGTTATAATATTGTATTGTATTATAATATAATAGGATTTTGAATTTTTTAAATAACGAATTGTTTATTGCGCGTATTAGAATGACATGTATAATTTAATAGTCGTAAAAATGAAACTTTGCTCATGATTTCTACTAATAATAATCTATAAATAATGATTATTTTTAGATTTTTTAGAATGAACTTTAAACAAATCTATTTGTAATACAAAATTTAATAAACTTAATAAATATCCACAGCTCGTATTATATTAACGTATCAAATATCTCGTTTAATCCAACATTCTAATGAGACTCAATATTTCAATTATTTAGGAATAAGTATGTAAATGTAAGTTGATATTATCCCTGATATCCTATAATCTAAGGTAAATTTATATTTTAGGGAGACAGTGGCGGACCGCTATTGTATAATGGTCAACTGGTAGCGGTTAATTTAGCTGTTTGTCCGACAGTACCAAGTACTTTGAGTCCAAATAAAGTAAATATTCACATTAGTATTAACTATTTTGAAGATTTCATAAATAACATTCTGTCAATTGTATAGTGTATTTCATGTTAATCTATTATTAGCGTATGCAAATAAAAAAAGAATATGCGCTATTATTATTATTATTATTATTATTATTATTATTATTATTATTATTATTATTATTATTATTATTATTATGGGTATTATGGGTATTATTATTACAGCAATGACATGTGTTTGAGATACTTTATGCCATTTTGTAAAACTGATAAATAAAATTATACTTGCTTTTTATACGTAAATATGTATTATTAACATATTGTTTGTACAATTTTTAAGCTCTTTGAACTATGAATATATAAAGGGACTAGGCAGCTGTTTTGATGAAATGCAAATATACTTAACAACGAAAAAGTCAGTACTGGCGTGGAAGAATAATGGACTTAATAATTAGATGAATTATTTTTAACACAACGTAATCACTCTTTAATAATATAATTTTTAATATTTGTATACATTTATTTGCTATGATATGGAAATAAATTGATTTATTACGCATAAACCTATATTTGACGTTCAATTGCTTTTTTTTACTTTTTTTCTTTTTCTTTTTGTATTATTACAACAGCGTGTTACACAAGAATTCTTATTCAAATATTTTGAATTTTTCAATATTAATATTGTGGTCGAATCATATTAAAATGAAATAAAACTCGACGAAATGAAAGCAATCTTATTTGTTGAATCAGACAATGTAAGATCGAATAAAAAAAGTAGAGAAACAATGATTAATTTATTTATCGATTATATAAAGCAGCAAGTCTTGTTGTTGAAAGGTGACTTCGATTTATTAATAAATTCCCCGTTGTTCTTTGCCAACAGATTTAAATACCGTATAATCGAAAATTTTTGTTAATAAATAAGAAATATCGCGCATACAACATAGTGACGCTAATCTTGCAGAAATTTTATAAATAATAAGAATAGCGCTTAAAATATAATGATAATTATTTTTGTTTATGACAATTTTGGCATAAAAATTTCGAGCAATTTTTCTTCTTTCATTAGACTTATTTCTCGTTACAGTCAGTCATTGTTACATTGGAAATTTTGTTTTCCACAAATGTCTGATAATTGATTGACACACGCATTGATTTTCGATTTGCCTATTATTCGATCTGCAACCGCATATTGAATCATTACTTTCAAAATAAATTCTCAGATGTAATATAAATAAAAGTTTCTCCACGTTGATTTATTTTAAGCCCTCTCGAGTTATTCGTTATTATACCAAAAACAATAATTAAGGAATGGGCAAATCGAGTGCGGCTCAATGGTTTGTGCGCTTATATTCATTTGAACAGTCTATTATCTTTGTATATATATATTCTTTTTTTTTTTTTTTTTTTTTTTTTTAAAAAAAATTTTCTTTTAAATTCCATTTTCATTTACGCAATAACACGAATAATAAACTTGTTCGCTATTAAAAACATAGGATTAAAAAAAATGATAAAAGCTTTTATATATTGTATACAATTTCAAGAATATTTTTTACACACTTGATAAACATTTAACAAATGCTATAAAATGTTCTTTTTATGTTTTAAAAGTATATTTTTAGTTTTTCAGCTCTTTAGAGAATATAGTACATATAAATAAATATTAATATAAATATATATATATATATATATATATATATATATATGTTTATACATCAATAGATATTTATATATTTATATATTAATATATATTTATATAATTACACACACACATATATATATATATATATACATACACACACATATATAAATATATATATATATATATATATATATATAGCTTTTTGCACTCCGTATACATCTTTATATTTTATGATGCAGTGTAATATATACATATTATTTTTTCAATATTTACTATTTGGTATGTAAAAATAACAATATTTAATCGTATTATATAAAAATTTCACACCGTAAAAACTGTGAAAGTATGTATGTGTGAATATTTAAGTGATTCTAGAAACATGTGTGTATTTTATGTAGGTGATAAATTGCAATTTTTAAACGCGAAGGCAATGTTCGGTTATGGCGTTAGACCAGCAGTGGAAAATGAATTTCCATTTGTCGTATGTATCTTAAAGTATGATCCTCTACAAAATTGGGACTATAATCTATTATGTACGGGAATGTTTATTTCTACGAATTACATTTTAACAGCTGAACATTGTTTTATTGTATCAAGCCATTATCAAATTGAAATGACTGTCGGTGGTTATATTCTCGACAATGGCATTAGATATTATCCGATATGGTGGATATCGTATAATCAGTGGATGGCTAATACCAATCAAGTTCACACGGATCTATTCAATGATATTCTTATAGCAAGGGTAAATAACTTTTTATGACATCTACAGGAGTAAGTTAGACCTGTGCCAACATTTGAGCTTTTATATTAAACACAGCTGAATATTATTTATATGCAAAAACAGAAGCTTAAAAAAAAACAAACAAAATTTAATAGAAATATTAGCGCATATGTTGAATAATGTGTAACTTATAATATTGCAAATAATTGCTTTTAGATATTCGGATTGCCATTTACATTTGATATACCGATTTCGTTGGACTACATTCATCCAGACAATGTGGAGGAATCTTCAATTTTTAACGTAGTAGGTTGTGGTAGACTCGAAGATGAACGATTGCCGACAATATTGAGAACAGCATCTCTTCCAATTTTATCCAACGTAATGTGTATAAATAAATTATCGAATGTAGTGGGAGCATATATTTATTTGGATAATAAATATTTATGTACCTATAATAACCCGTACACTCTGTTGCACGATGTAAGTAATTCTAGTCTTTAAAAAAAGTTAAAAAAAAAAAAAAATGATCTTTAATATATTAAAATATTTATGAAACTGTTAACTTTGTCTATTAATTTTTTTAGGGGGATAGTGGTGGTCCGCTATTACATAATGGTAACATTGTAGGAGTGAGCATTGCAGTATGCCCAAACATACAAAACATAAATAATTCAGATCAAGTAAACATTCATCTAAGTTTTTATCATTATTACAGTTTTATAAATTCTTTAATTTTATTAGCATAACATTACACACGCACACAGGCACGCACAAACAAACAAACAAACAAACAAACAAACAAACAAACACACACACGCACACAAACACATATATATATATATTCTATAATGTTTTGGTGTATTTAAATGAAAAGATCATATAAATAATTCATTTAAAAACCTAATATTCGTATAAACGTATATTTATGCATTTTTTCTTTCCATATTTATATAAAAAAAAAAAAAAAAAAAAAAAAAAAAAAAAATCAATAATTTCGTGAAAATATTCTTTTTTATTAATTTTATTCCAGTAGCTTTCTTGAGTAATTAATAATGATACTTAACCTCAAATGTTAAAAATACAATTATTATAATTTTTATTAAAAATATTTTTAAGCAGGACACGAATTGAAATTTTCTTCTTCATTTCGTGAAAATATTCTTTTTTATTAATTTTATTCCAGTAGCTTTCTTGAGTAATTAATAATGATACTTAACCTCAAATGTTAAAAATACAATTATTATAATTTTTATTAAAAATATTTTTAAGCAGGACACGAATTGAAATTTTCTTCTTCTTTTTTTTTTCTTTTATAAAAACTTGTCACTTAAACATTTAATTTAATAATTATTTTATTTTTTAACAATAATGATACGTTTACTCTTGAGATCTTTCTTATTCTTTTTTAACTAATTACAAATACATCTATCAGCAGCGGTTGTTTCAATGTTCATTACACAATTACAGATTATAAATAGGATTTAGTATACATTTATATTCTAGCTGTACATTTTATATATTAATGTTAATCGGTAATATTTTAAAGAATATATTTCGAATTCAATGAATATTGGCAGGAAAGTTTTTCGAGTCATAATACGCAGCTTGTTTAAAATATCTGATAATTTCATTACATTGTTTTTCCATTATATTATATCACTCAACTAAATTATTTGCAATGAATTATATAAGGTATTTGTTGGGAAATTCTTAATTACTCTCGGCTATGTATAGTAGAATTTTGTATAAGTCGTTTCCACTCCATATCCAATCACTCCTACTCCACCTCGAATTACTCGTTTCCCTAGGATTATTCATTCACAAATAATACATTTTGACATATACATGCACACGTGCTTGACTTCACTTTCGGTTAAATTACCACCTGAGCTTATAATGGACTTGCAGCAGCAAAGGAATCAACGAATGGTCTACTGGTATCATTAGCACTATCTTCATTCTAACTATCGACTGTTGAATTCGCATTTTTTACTTTCATTTCCTTCCTCAGCCTATTACAATTTATCTCCTATCAAGACGTTAACAATGCAAATAGGCTCCTTTGTCGATATCACCATTGTATTTTTAAATATAAAAGTTAAAATTGCAGGGAAGTATTACACTAGTCGCACACAGAGTTAATGCTATTACTATTATTGTTATTATTCGTTATCCGCGTAACGAGATGTGTACAATGTCAACTGGCACTTTCAATGACTCGGATATTTTTATTTAGATTACTTTGCCGACTTGTGCATGTACATATGTTATTTTTGCGCACATGATGCAGTTGTACTGTTTACTTCTAGTTATTATGCTTCATTTATTAAATTTCTTTCTTTAAGTTCATCCGATAATAATGGTTATATTAGTTCATTCGATCACTCAAAATTTTCTTGATAGCGAATTTTAGTTTACGATAGACAACTAAATAATTTAAATAAAATTACTTAATAAAAATCAGTGTTTTCAACGAAATATGTCATATAAATATAAAATATTGTAAAATCGTTTAATATAATAAATTTCTTTCGCTTCTTACTTCGCTCAATACTTAATTATATTTAATACCTCTGAATCGTATCGACAACAATATTCGATGTTCCAATTTATTATAAAAATATATAATTGTATGCAGTATTATTTCATTAATATAAATACAAATTAGGTAATGAAATTAATTGTAAAATAATAATAAAAAAAAAAGAAAAATAAAAAATACATCAAATATTTTAAATTTGTATATCTTTTTTGCTTTAATTTTATTTATATACTTAGATAATAGAATATTTATAGTTATATAACAGAAAATACATTTATATAATAGAAGCCGGGTAAATATTTATTCAGTTATTAGATATATAAGATGTAATATATAAGATATGTTATAAAAAATGTTGATCTTCAAAATTATAAAAATTAGTTTAATTCCATATAATGAATAAAACATCAAACTAAATACTTTACTGAATCAATTAATTAAAATTCAATATTTATTTTGAATTTACATTTTTATAAAGACATTAAATTTAAGAGTTTCGCTCTGTTTCTACATCATGTGTTTCTAAATATATATATATATATATATATATATATATATATATATATATATATATATATATATATATATATCTCTCTTTTTCTCAATTCTATTATTCTCAAAATAATGTTTATCGCAATTTAACATTTTTTGAATTTACAAAAGTTAACCGAAGAATGTCGTATGATGATATGCCATTAATGTATATTAATCTACTTTTTCAAGACGAAGATTACAAGTAATTAAAGTATTATATTAAAGTATATATATACATATATATATATATATATATATTTTTCATGGTTTACATTAAAAGAAATTTACATTTTAGTGTGACTGACTTTATATTATTATAGCAGTTTTTTATTGTATCAGTAAATATTGAAATATATTTCATTGTAATGTTAATTTTGTGTAAAGTAATTGTATGCAATTATATTTAATATGTTATTGTATATAACGTTACAATAAAATTATTATTAAAGTATAATATATATATATATATATAAATAGAAACTTTTGTGAAAATAAAAAATAACCCTTTCATTGTAATAATAATTATTATAATTATTAATATTATTGATATTATATTATGAATGCGTACACTAATTGTTTAAAATTATTTTATGCTTTTTTTGTATTGTATAATCGTATCTTATATTACAAATAAATATATTTTAAATAACGTACGAGAATATTCGTATTGTTAAAATATTATTATGTACTATAGTCATTCATGATCATTTTATTTTTACGAGTGACTCAAGTTTACTTGATAATCAAATATTTAGCTACACATTAGTCGAAGAAGAGAAAGAATTTTTTATATATAGACAATATTAAATTATTGTCTGTCTTATATTTTGTTTTGTTTTTTTGTTTTTGTTTTGCTTTATTTTTGTTGTTGTTTGTTGTTGTTTTTTGTTTTTTGTTTTGTTTTGTTTTTGATAATTTAGGTATATATTGTATAAAAAGTATATATTCAAATTTTGAAGCTGTAGTCATTTAGAAATAAGGTACAATAAATTCCACTTTAAATAGTAGATATTTTCATATGTAACAGCCACAACACAACGACCTTTCTGACTAAAAGTTATAATTACTAAAAAAATTATAATAATTTTATTATCTATCTTACTATATATACTATTCTATCTTATTATGCTCTTAAAATACAAATGTCAATTTCAAGATAATTAAACATCGTATTTATGTTGGTAGACAGTGATTATAAATTTTAGATTAGTATTCTTGAGTCTTTATATTATGTCTATTTTTTATCGTGCTAAAGTGAATATCGATATTTCCATATAAATTGGTGTTTATATTATTTATATTCTATGTCTATTTCTTTATATTATCTATTCTATTATATTATATATATTATTTATATCTATTTATATTATGGAATTCGTGATTGAATGAGATCAACGATGCAGTTTTGAAAAAATATTTGAAGAAAATGATATATATTATATTTTTAAGGATTAACGAGAGAATATTGGATAGAAATAAAAATCATAAAACATAAAGCATCCGTTTTATATTATATTTTACATATATCGATTTTTATGTACACACACACATATCTATATATATATATATATATTTTATATATAAATTGACTTTGCGGAAATTCAAGAGAGAGAGAGAGAGAGAGAGAGAGAGAGAGAGAGAGAGAGATGGAGAGATGGAGAGAGAACTACTATTGGTGAATGAGTATTTTTGACTCACTTTTACTAGTACAGTCCTTTTGGATTTTTTACTTATGGGTAATTTATGCTTCAATTTCTCGCTCTTTCTCACTTTTCTCTCTCTCTCTCTCTCTCTCTCTCTCTCTCTCTCTCTCTATCTCTATCTCTATCTCTATCTCTCTCCGTCTGTCAGTTTTGTTGATTTATCTTTTATTTTATTGTGTATATACTTCACTTCTTTTATTGTATTTATATGTTATCGAATATATGACCTTGGACGATAGCCATATGTCACGATAATATGAAATATAAATAATATGATTTATCATATATTTTTTTATTGAGTCACTTTTGGATTACACAAAAATTTTAGAAAATAATTGCATAACGTACATGTATTATTCTAATATATTTTAAGGTATACTGCAATATGAATTTAATTTTTTAATCTTGTGAATAAAATTGTGTATTCTATATATAAATGCATCCCATAAAGTTTTCATGATTAACTATGAAAAGAACGAGTGTGTGAATATTAACATTCCATTATTCATTATTTTATACTTTTATAAAATAGTTATAGAGCTAGAATAATTATTTATTATATGTATTATATACTATTAATATAATACTATTGATCTAATACAATTTAACATTGTGTATTTCATCATATAAAATTACAATTGAATCTCAATTATAATTATTTATTAAATTTAATTTTATAGATTTTTTGTTCAACATACGAGTAACCTTTAGCGAGCAATATAAATAATCGATTTTATTTCAACGCAAAATCATTTGCAACGTTTGGTATTATAAAAAAGTATTGTATATATAGTTTATCAGTTTCTATTTTGGTATGCAGTTAAAAATTTACATATTGTTTTTCCAATATTTCATATTTGGTAAGTAAAAATATATCATAGTATAATATCAAATAGAAATGCAATTATTAATATTTACATTAATCAGGGCCTGCTTATATTAATATATGTGATTTCACTTAGGTAATGAATTCCGATATTTAAAAGCGAAGGCAATAGTCGGTCATAACGTTAGAACAGCAGAGGAAAATGAATTTCCATCAGTCGTATGTATCTTCAAATATGATCCTGATGAAACCTGGGAAAATAATCTATTGTGTACTGGAACGCTTATTTCATCAAATCATATTTTGACGGTTCAACACTGTCTGGATATGGCCAACACTGTAAAAATTGAAGTGAATATTGGCGGACATCACGTGCACGATGCTGTTAGATATTATCCGATATGGTGGATGTCCTATAATCAGTGGGTCTCGCGAACTCAACAGACTTATAGTATCGTACACGATATTCTTATACTTAAAGTAAATAATTAATTTTAACATTAATATATAATAATAATAATAATAATAATAATAATAATAATAATAATAATAATAATGCTACGTAGGTCTGTGAATATTAGACGTTTATTCAATGATTCGCGTTTCATTTGACGAAATTCTGTTAATACAAATAATAACTAATAATGCTTCTTGTTAAAATATACTTGAGCGTACATTTTTCATGCTTATAGAATGGAATTTAGAATTTTCTTATATTTTCGGCTTAATTACATTCATATGGTAATAATTATTTACAGTAAATGTATATATATATATATATATATATATAAAATATTAATTGCAGATATTTGGTATGCCGATCAATATTAATCATTGCGTAATTGGATACATATATCCAATTGCCACCATAGTTGAACACAATCTCAAAGTAGTAGGGTGTGGTAAAATTGAAAATAATCAATTTCCTACGATATTGAGAACTGCAGCAATAACTGTTTTAGATAGTTTTCTTTGCGAAGAAAGGGTTTCTTATTACCATGGCGTACATATAAATATCGAGCAGCAAATAATATGTACGGCCAATGATCCCTATACATTGGTTAACCATGTAAGTAATGTTTTTAATAATTACAAAGCTTTTTTTACAAATAATTACAAAGTAAATTCGATAATAAGCATTTGCTAATAATCGATATTGTCTCACAAATGCAAATAAATAAATAAATAAATGTTTGACATGTTACTTTCTAAAGCAATTAGATGAAATAAATAGTATATGTTGCATAAATTAATCATTAGAATTAATACTTAAATGGAAAATGGAAAAATTACTCAGATTCATGTCAGTGTTACGTGATTTTTCTATTCAAGTACTAATTCTAATTATATTTATTGAATGCTTAAATATTTCGAACACTACTCATTAATACACTGCATACTTATTTTCTATAACATTAAATATTAATTATATTTAAGCCATCTAACGCGAAAGTAATTAATTATCATTGAATTTTAACGTAATATTATTTGGACATACGGTTCCCTTGTATAAATAAAAATTCAATTAAAAATATATTTTATTTAATCCTTTTAAATAGTTATAATGTGCTTAATGTCGTAATATTATATAGTTATAATCGTAAAATTGTATAATTGTTTTGATCGCGCGGCGATATTGCTTTTTCCATGTGTAATATTGAATACGATTTACTTTTATTATTTATACGCTATAAATAGTTACTGGAAACAAAATGTTATGAAAATAATTACATGTAGATTATTATCATTTTTAGTAAATTTTTAGATAAATAAATCAAATTAAATTCTTAAGATTTTGTAAATACATATATTTAGTAGAGGTAATGGACAATATTTACTTATTTAATTGCAAATGCATACTTAAAAATATATCATCTTATATCGGATTATTTATATAATTGTTATAATTATGTCCATATATTATAAAATGTTAATATTTTAGGGGGATAGTGGAGGACCACTAATATATAATGGCGTTATTATAGGAATTACTGTAGCAAGATGTCCAGAAATGGAAAATGATTTAAATTCCGAACAAGTAAATATCCATCTTAACATTTATTTTTATGAAAGCTTTATATACGCCCTTCTTGCCATGTAGTGTATTTTTATTATATTTATAAATTTATTTTATTCAAATAAATTCAACCACTCGCATTATTTACATGAACTATAATTTTTACAAATTATTATCAAAATATAATGTATAATTGAAATAATTGTTAGCTAAATAAAAAGATTGTTTTTATAACCATGAAAAGATGACGTATGATTTTTTATATTTTATTTCATTAGAAAGTTAAGTGGTTTTTCATAAAATTTTTTCGAAATTCAATCAAACTATAGCCTTTATAATTTCTCATTTGAACGATTTGAAAAGGCGACAAACGAGAATATTAATATTTTTCCGTATAAATAAACGATGAATAATAAATACTATAATTTATAAAAATGTTCTTCTTTTTAATTATACACATATAATTAATAATATATTATTTATATACTATGAATATTCGTAAAATTAGTTAATAGTAAGAAAAAGAGGAAAAAATTAATATTATCAATAAGAAAATTTGTATACTATTAATGTTTATATAAAATATTTTCATTATTTTCATTATTTTCATTATTGCCAATCAATATATATAGTATTATAATAGTGAGTCATACAAAGAATAATTTATTGCTCTGCTATATTTTTTCGATCATACTGTAAGAGATGCAAATAATCGTAATATATATTAAATTAGTAAATTATTATTTTACGTTTAATGAAAAATTTCTCTCTTTTTTTTTTTTTTTTTTTGAGTAACTTGTAGAGATTCAGCGAGGTTCCATTTATAGATTTTGAAAGACTTATTTAAAAAAAAAAAATATATATATATATATATATATATATATATAATAATAAAGCTATATTATATTGAAATATTAAATTTGTACGGCAAAGAATTATGTAAATATTTAGTATATTTATAGTTCATAATGAACAAGTGTTTCTGACTATCTTATCTTAATTTAGTCATTTTCACTCATTTAGTTATTTAAATATTTTATAAATACATACTTTTATAATATAATAGAGAGTTATCGAATACTCCATTGTTATTTCTGTAACAATAAGATTAATTAGTTTATTTTTAGGACAGTGTTCTTACTATGTGTGTATTCAATATTAAATGGTAATCTTAAATTAGAAATGACTTTCGTCTATATTTACATATAATATATAATATAAGAAATAACTTGTAATATTTCACAGTAATATTGAAATAACTATATATATGAAAAATTTAAGAAAAAAACAAAAAAAAAAAAAAAAAACGGTAGTCAATCAGTTATATATTAAATTTAAAAACTTTATCATTATCTTGATGGAGTTTAGAATAGGCGAGAAGATATTTATTCGACCAATTCCTCACTTTTTTCCTCTAGTAAAGCTATATTATATAATTATAATCTTTACAATAAAATATGTATATTAATTTTTGTCATAAAAATCAATTTTTAATTAAATTCCCTAATACAAAAAGTTTAAAAAAATACTGCTCATAGTATGTAAAGGAAGATGATGACAATAGATTTTTTTTTTTTTTTTGTGGAATTCTATATTATGCGTGTAATATAACATGTACGTTGAATATATTTACATATAATAGTTTAATCAATGCGGATACTCATTGCGAAAACCGAAGGTTGGAAATTCGATTCTTTATTAATTAGAATCGTATTTACTTATAATTTAAATAATTCTTGACATTTTTCAAAAATACAATTATTTATTAAGTATATAGGGTATTCTAAATGATGCAAATAATAAAATGAAAATTTTATCCCTTTTGAATATTTAAGTAAAAGTTGAAAAGTATTTTTTATGTATATTTCAAAGATAAATATTGGAATTATTTACAATTGATAATAATATTAAAATCATTATGTACAAATCCTACTTTACAAGTCATTTCAAATTTTATTTAATACTCTCCTAATAAATATTTCTTTATTAAATTATGTCTGTAAAACTATTATATCTGTAATAAACCTCACAGTTACAATATAGATTCTTGATATATTTCATGCATTTCTACTTAATAATTTTACATTTAAATTGAAAAATATAATTTTAGTATTTGCGTGTTGTTTAACGTTTTAATGATTCTCTTTTACAATACTGGGTAAAGTTAATAGCACACGCTCTGGAATATTAGTACTATCTATTAGTATAATAATTATTATAGTGAAATATATTATAAATTTTCAGCTAGTATAAAAAAAATTTAAAAATTCTATTCATTTGATTTATATAGTTTTGTTATTAGTTTTCAATATGCCATACAAAATTTATATACTTCTTTTGCAATATTTAATATTGGGTATGTAAAAATAATATTTAAGCGTTACTTTTAAAAGTGAAGTTGGAGTATATAATTATATGATCTTTTTATTGTATAAGCTTATATGTGACTTTTTTTTTTAGGTAATAACTTAAGATATTTGAAGGCGAAGACAATGGTTGGTAATAATGTTAGGCCAATACAAGAAGATGAATTTCGCTATGTTGTATGTATATTAAAGGATAATCCTAGAGCTAGTTGGGAGGATAATATATTGTGTTCCGGAACGCTGATATCGTCACATCATATTTTGACAGTTGAGCACTGTTTCGCCACTGTAGATGTACAGACAAAAGTTGTAGTGACTATCGGCGGGCAGAATTTCGATAATGGCCTTAGGCATTACCCCACATGGTGGGTATCTTTTCATCAGTGGACAGTTGGTCAAGGACAAGAGTTTCTTAGTGGCATACACGATATTCTTATAGTCAGAGTAAATAATTTATTTTAATGTAAAATTATGTATATACAATAATGATTGAGCAGGCTTGTGAATATTAGACGTTTTCATTCAATCATCTCACGAAATCACGAACATTTTTAATGCTTGTATTTTTGGTTTTGGAAATTTTGTTATATTTTAACGACTATATCGATAATATTTAATTATATCAATAATATTCATATGGTAGAATTTCGCATGAATGAAGAAATGGTCATTTACAATATATATATTTATTGAATTTGCAGATATTCGGAAAACCACGCAACAACGAACCATGCCTTATGGGGTATGTGTATCCAGTTACCATTATAAATGGAGAGGATCTTACCGTGGTTGGGTGCACTAAAATTAACGATGGGGATACTCATACGTTACTTGCAACCGCGACAGTTCATATTTTAGATCGTGCATATTGCCAACAAAAGGTTTCTAATGATTATGGATATCCCATTATTGTCGATGAACAATATATATGCTCATTTAATGATCCATATACATTAATTGAATACGTAAGTAAATGTGGGTTTTTTTTTTCGTTTAAAAATCTTGCGGGTAAAGCTTAATAAGCTTAATTGTAAATAGATAAAATTGTTTTTTATTTTGAGATCAATTATTTTGTATCACTTATCATATTCATTAAGTATCAAAATATATAATATATAATAATATCAATTTTGAAACAAAAAAAAAAAAAAAAAAAAAAAAAAAAAAAAAAACACACGTTCCTAACATAAAATAAAAAAATATATAAAGATCCTTAATTCTATATATATATATTAAAAAAGTGATACATTTATTTAACAAAAATAGCGAGAAAAAAAAATACTGCGATAGAGCAAAAATTCTTATAAAAGAAGAATAATTTATTAATCCATTCAGGAATAGTGTTAAATAATCAAGATTCATTAAATTTCACCCTTAAAAAAAGAAAAAAAAAGACACGTTTTGCTGTGTTTATCATATAACATAATAATAAATCAATAAATAAAAATATGCTCGTTAAAAAAAAAAAAAAAAAAAAAAAAAAAAAAAAAAAATAAATAAAAAGGAAAATAAAAATTAATAGTTAAAGTTATTTTAAACAAGTAAAAATTCTTTAACAATTATTATTGTTATATATGTAAATGCAAATATACTATTATTACAGTATCACTCAATTTTACAAAATTTTATGCACTGTATTATCCAATATTTTACTTTCAACTAAATAATCATACAATGAATATCAATATAACATTAATTATTTTTGGATTATTACTTTTTTCGTATGCGCATTGCAATATTATACAAGAATAAATGTTTATTAGTCATTTGTCTATACTTAACGATATCTATACTTGATTAAGTACTAATCGAAATAATTCACACTGTAAGCACACACGCACGCGCACAGTAGTGGAATCGATTGGTAATACAAAAATTAGTTGTTTACGATAATACAACCAATACATTTGTAATAATGCGTGCATTATTTTAATTTTTTTAAAATCTTCTGTACTTTGTCATAATAAATTCTTAAACTGCCATCCACCACGAACAATCTATGTATTAAATAATTAATGCTCGTATTGTAGAATTCATAGACTGCAATTAATGTAATGAAGTATATTAATTAATATTTTAGGGGGACAGTGGCGGTCCGCTATTACGTCATGGTGTCCTTGTAGGAATTAATATAGCAAGATGTCCAACAATGGATACTGCAATACATCCTGCACAAGTAAATATCCACCTTAGTCTTCACTTATATCAAAATTATTTATGCACTGTTAGCACAGAATAGTGTATTTTATATGTATAATCATAAATTCAGTTAATTCAAATGAATTTCACTACTCATTTTATTCATAATTACTATACTATGTATAAATTATTATGTGTATACTGAAATAATTATAATTATTGTTTAAATAAACGATTTTCACTTTGTAACAGTGTTTTCACTTTGTAAGTATTCAAATATTTCATGGCAATGTTAAGTTAATAATGATTTTATTTATAAGTTTGGCGCTTAGGTACTTGAAATTGAAAATTTAATTTGAAATTAAAAAATTTCGAAATACATTTTCAGACTCGTTGCGTTTATAATATAATTTATAATAATTCTTAAGCAAGCATATTTTATTTATCTAGATTATAGTTTTCAAAGTTTATCAGCTTATTCTTATGTTCATAATTAATTTGGTTGTTTTATGGTTATAAAATACGTTTAGTGAAATGTTTCTTATTCAAGTCAATTGTTTATTTGGATTAGTCTAATAACCAATAAGATATATATATATATATATATAAATATATATATATATATATATATATATAAATGTTTACATATAATTTATAATCGAGATGCATGTATTTTGCACAATTATTTCTTAAGAATTAAATATTTTATTGATTAAGAAGTATGCGTTAATAGATAAAATAAAAAATAATTATTGACCAAAGTAGTTGTAAATTTATAAAACTTATCCTTAATATATGAATCCAATATGACGAAAATACATATTTTTTTTAACTTTTAATGATTAGTTTTATAATACTAGATAAACTTAACGGTTATAAAAAAGCAAGTTTTATCTTTTAAAAAATATGTTTTGGCTATAATAAAAATAAATATAAAAATTGTTTATTATTTAATTTATAAATTGTTACTGCTTAATTATTTACTTTGTACTGTTACATTTGGATATGAAATATAATATATATCAATTTATTTTCCAATTTTTAATAATCGGTAAGTAAAAGCGATACTTTTCATTAAAACAATATTGGAAAGTACATACATACATAAATACATACATACATATGTATGTATTGTTATACATATTGTTTTTTTTTTTGTTTTTAAATAAAATCATTTTATGCAGATTTTGGATTATGGCAATCGAACGTAAAGGCATTAATTGGTCACAATGTTCGGCCAGTACTCGAAAGCGAATTTCCTTCTGTTGCTTGTCTTCTCAAATACGATCCTAACACTGAATATAATGAATCGATGTACTGTACTGGTTCATTTATCTCTCTTAGTCTTGTTTTGACAGCTGAGCATTGTACTAAAAATTTAGAAATCGCGCGAATGGAAATAGTCGTTGGTCATCACAATATGACGAATGCAATGAGATTTTATCCAATTTGGTGGTTATCGTTTGAACAATGGATGTCACAACTGGGCAGAACTAATACAAGAATATTGAATGATATTCTTCTAATAAAAGTAAGTTACTTCTCTCACTTATTGTATTATTTTATTATATCGCTATGCATACCGCTATACTTACTTATGTAAAATCATTATAAATTTGTATTGTTGCAAGCGATTATAATTATTCGTATGTGAAAGTAACATTATCGATAAATACTTTTTTTATAGATTTTTGGATTGACGTATGACATTCTACCATCGACTATTGCTGGCTTTAGTACAAATAGAAATATAAATGGATATCAGGTTCAACTCGTAGGATGTGGACTTACAAATGCTAATAGAATGCCATCGATTTTACATACAGCGGTTGTTAATATCGTAAACATTCACCGTTGTTTACAAATAATTGCTGATCTTAGTGGAGAAATTTATCCTGTTCTGGAACAAATCATATGCAGCAAAGGCAACCCATACACGTTTCTTGAATATGTTGGTGGCAAATTCATTATATTATATTATAAAAAAATGACTCTATTTATATTCTAAAAAATTATTTCTCTTTCTGTCTCGGCAATTAACATATCAAATACCTTTGATATTTTAGGGTGACAGTGGTGGTCCACTCTTCTATCAAGGTAATCTCATGGCTATTAATATAGCTGTCTGTCCGAAAATGGACGGAGGATTTCATCCCGATAAATTAAATATTCATATTAGTATCGAACCTTATAGAGAATTTATACATTCTATTTATAATTCCTGATACCTAAGATGCAAGAAATTGTTTATAATTCTAATGATTACGAAGGTGATTACGTTCACTATTATCATCATCATCATCATCATTATTATTATATTGTTGTTATTATTATATAATCTTGAATATTGGAATAATTAATTATTAATTCGAAATAAAATTAACCTTTTATTACAGTATATCGTTATTCTTTCTCTGTCTTAATAGCATTTCTGTTTATGTACAATTTGTCTTATACGTAAAAGAAAATACAATTCCATTTGACTACAATATAAAAATAAAATTATTAATTACGTGCATTTTGTTTTTTTTTTTAATAAAATTGATAAATCTCGCTACTTTGTATTATCATTTTTCTCATTATACGAGATGTTTTGTTCTCTAAATTTATATAAAAAAAAAAAAAAAAAAAAAAAAAAAAAAAAAAAAAAAAAAAAAAAAAATAGATGATACATTTTTTTTATTTAATGTCTTGATGTTTATATATTATTATAGTATAGTTATTTTGTAGAACAAAATATGTTTCTAAATTTCAATCAGAATTTAAATTTAGAAAACTTAATTATTACAAATCAATTATTACGAATCTCACCTTTACTATAATTATTAAGTGACATATTCACATTAATTCAAATATATAGATCGTGAAAGAAAATGTTGAGCTTACGCAAATAAAAAACGTTAATTTCATGCTGAATGATCAAATTAACATTATTCCTAATATTTTGCTAATTATAACATATAATTGTATGAAAAATATTTTAAACAATCAAAAACACATGTACTCGATATACTGCGTTGAAAATAATTTATTTCTTATAATACGATAAATAGCAATGAAATTTTCATTAAAAAAAAAAAAAAAAAAAAAGTAATAATTTTTAACAATTCAATAAATCGATATTATTTATTTGATTATTGAAATTGGTCAAGCATTAATAATATATACTTTGTGTCTGATAACTATTGATATCGTCGGATGTAGTCGAGTTTAAAAAATTAATAAAATATTTGGTAAAATTTTTTCAAATTATAAATTGTATATTGCATATTTTTAAACCTAACAAAATCTAAAAATTTGATATAAATTATATTTGAATAGTCCAGAGTGTTTCTATATGTACGTCTAAAATTAAAAATACATCTAAAATTCTATATGTACGTCAAAGCCTCTAATTTGAATAAGACAGCTTTTAACTGAAATTTTATTTCCAATTTCAGACTATTTAATATTCAATTCATACCAAATATATTTAACTTATGACAATAAATAAGTTTTTAGAATAATTTTACATTGGTAAATAACGTCCAAGTTCTACGATATTTAATTCAATGTTCTAGCTTACTCAAATTAAAAATATTGTTTAATTGAGATAATAATCGATCTTAAATTTATAATATTATTAATATGTATGTGATGCTATTAAAATATCTTCCTTGAAATTTTACAATAAAAAATATAATTTGTTCTCGAATATTGAGCTTTGATTTTTAAAAAACATTATTCACACTCGAATGTAGCCTCAATTATTCAAGTCGTATAAAGTTTCCAATGAATCGCGGAACGAAAAGTTCGTTGAATTATTTTAATACACTTATAAGTATATAATTTCACCAAATACATCCACAACAGACAATTAGCTTATTAAAGCTTTAAATACAAATATTATAGATAAATCGAAGATAGCCTGTATCGTCGATCAAACGATTACGACATTCATCTTTTATCTGTAGAGGTGAAATTAATTATGCTTTGAAATCCCAATAGTTAGGCTTCTTCATTATATCATGGACGTATGAATTGCAACGATAGGTCAAGTCGTTTCATAAGATTCTGCTTGTCCGACTAGCAAAGGACGTCTACTTGCAATCGTTTTGATTCTCATTGTTTGAAGAATCGCCTCTCGTTTTATGACACCACTGCCTATGGCGCAGTTACCTTATAATTAAGCGACTCGTCATTTTCCACACGGTCAAACTCTGCGTAATATTGTCAAGGTCGCCCATTTCTAAACTTTCTCCCACTTGGGACTTTCGTACTTACGTACGTATGTCAACTCGACCTATTATTGTGTATTCGCTGGAATGTAGGCGCCTTACCTCTTACAAATTAATTTCCGAGAGGTGTTTTTTAATTCGCTTTTTTGTTTCTACTCGCGTCTATGTGACTTCCTCTTCGTCCTGCTGACTTTGTAATGCTACGAGCCGAAGAAATTAAACGGGAGGTTAACGGATTTCTTTTTTTATCATTCTTTTTTTATTTTTCTTATTTATCGATTTATCTGTTGATGCATCTTCTATATAAATAGCGGTAAATAATTCTGTATCATTTGACTTAACATTTTGAGGGATTAAACTTACTCATCATATGAAACATTTGATATTATTATTATTTTTTTAATTAAATATTTATACCTTAGTAAGCATAAAAATTTGTTATTTAACAATAAAACAGCAGTAATTCTATATGTATATATATATATATATATATATATATATATATATATAATCTCTGTAATATACTTTTAAGTGTTTTGCACTATAAAAGATTGTTTATTATATTCTAATGTAATTAAATTTTTATTATTGAATTTTCGAATTTTCGAATACTATTAACATTTTTATACCGATATTATTGGTAATGATTCGTAGTATATAATATTCTTAATAACATACCCAAATGATATATAATCACCAAAATGATAATAATTTAAACAAAATATTTGAATTGATATATTAATGTATCGGATACTTTTACTAAACGAAATAAATTATAAAGAAATTAATAAAATTAATATGTTACAACAGGCTAAAATATAGATTAATTTATTGGTTTATAATATAAATAATAAATTATCTTACATTACGATTAAATTACATTGTAAAACAACATTCTATTATTAGTTACTATATTTTCCCACGTTTAAAAATTTATAATATTATTTTCATTTTTTTCATTCTACTATTATTTTTGTTAGTATTTTTTATGAATAACCGTTTGCCAGTGTTTATTTATTTGAATTTACACCACATGAAATAAAAAAATATAAGGGAATATTAAATATCATAATTTAAATGTATATTAACAATATGTATTATATATTTTTTATAAAGTTATAATAAAAATTATCATAATTATTTAGATATCCGCTACCGAAATTGAATTAAATTTGTTTATTATTTTTGTTTTTAATGAAAATACAAAAATTTTATACAATACATTAAAAATATTTCCTATGAAATAAGTATACTAAAATTGATTTATTTTATTGTATAATAAATAATTTATGTAAATTTATAGTTTTAGCCTAACAAGAGGAATACTGCTCATATTTTATTTGTACACTTTTTTAATTTTTATGTTCCTCATTCTCATTCTATGTGGTATCTGAAATGCAAGTTCACATCGATTGCGACAAGGCTTTGCGAACTATTTAGTTTGCCAATTCGGCAATATGCGAATCATGGACATAGGGACAATTTATATAAATCACTTGTTCGCACCCAATGTACCTATTAATCAGCGCGGTGATGTTTTTCGGAGGAATTAAGGTACAATTTTTACTTCACATATTTAAGCAAAAGATTGTGATACAAGACATCGGGGATTTTCACCTAATTTTATTGCATTAAATTCTTTTAGAGATTGCAGATGTTAGATCTCGACGTAATGAATACGTGATCCCGAAAATTTTGATGATTATATAATATATAATCTATATAATATGATATAATATAATATATAATATATAATATATAATATATAATATATAATATATAATATATAATGACGAAAAAAAACAAGCAATTAAAATTTTTACATAAAAACAGATTTTGCTTTTCTTTCTATTTTATGTTTTCTTTTGAGTCTAATAGTTGAAAATTTATTTCAATTTGATTTAGAAAATTCTAATAAAATATAACATAGTTTAAACGAACATATACTAGTAATACTTTTATAAATATATTATACCGTATATACGTATACGTAACGTATTATTTCAAAAAAAAAACTTTTTATTTTATGCATCCTCGTTAGAAAGTAAAAAATAATTACTTTTACTCATTTATTTACGTCCAAAATTACAATGAATAATCATCATTCAATTCACAGAGATATGAATATTTTGTAAAATTCCGATATTATAATAATTAGTTTATTTCAAGAGGAGAATTTATATTTCAAAACCACATAACCACATAACTCTGGTCACATTTTGGAATTCTTTATTAAATATAGAAGCATAAAAAATCACATATTTTTCCACTCTAGAAGGATCAGATAAATTTAAGAATTTCTTGCATAATGGTTGAGCGAATCTCTAATCCACCTATATAGTTGAAAGAAATATACAACATTGGTGTATTTTCTGCTACTATATTCTTGATAATATAAATTTACCCATCATAAGTAATATTATTTTTATTTTTATTCATCATTGTTAAAATATAGTGAAAATTATATGTATTAAAAAGTTAACTTTTGATCAATGCGTTTATATATATATATAAAGTATACAATATTTTATTATATATAAAATATATAATGAATATGTAACTATAACAAAAATTTAGTATAAAAGTGAGTTGTTAACGAATGACACAACGATAGTAACTTTTCAAATTTAAAATACAAATTAAATTCGAATTAAAATATTGAGACTATGTTGTATCTTAATCTTATATTAAAATTTTTATGCTTCTATTTAATCATAAATTAATTAATATTTATGGACTTTTATAACTATAAACCATATCGGGAAATATAGATTATTAAAACTTAATTTCCGAATCTAGTTTTACAGGAAAAATTGGATAATGTTTTGGACATTTCTAGAAATGTCAGCAAAATGAGAAAATAAGATTTAATGTTTAAATATTTATACATTTACTTATATAATTCATAATGTAAATTATCCAAAAATTAATGAATGATAACATTATATTTAAATAATTAGCATTATATTTTTTAGCCTGGAAATGATTAAGATTTATAAAAACAAATT